GGGGCGTCGGCCTAGGAGGAACCCAAGTAGGATTCAGTCCTACTTGGGGCGCCTCCTGGCCTCTCCCCTCTCCCTACCACCTATATATATGTGGGGGGGGGGGGCGCCCCCTAGCACACACCAGACAACTGTTAGCCGTGTGCGGCGTCGCCTCCACCGTTTACTCCCATGGTCATATCTTCGTAGTGCTTAGGCGAAGCCCTGCGAGGATCACTTCACCATCACCGTCATCATGCCGTCGTGATGATGGAACTCATCTACTACCTCGACAACTTGCTGGATCAAAAAGGCGAGGGACGTCACCGAGCTGAACGTGTGAAGAACGCAGAGGTGCCGTGCGTTCAGTACTTCCTCGGTTGAAGCACGAAGAAGTTCGACTACATCAACCGCGTTGAGAAAAGCTTCTGCTTATGATCTATGAGGGTATGTACACACACTCTCCCCCTCGTTGCTATGAATCTCCATGGATAGATCATTGCGTGTGCATAGATTTTTTTGTTTTCCATGCAACAATTCCCAACAATGAGGCCTCCTCGGGGTTGACCTCTGTCGAGACGGTGGAGCAGAACACGAATCCAAGCAAGGCCGAACCCTAGTCTTCGGACACCATGCTAGTGCCGGGGCTCAAAGCTGAACCCATAGTGAGGAGAGCGGGTCTGGCTGGGGTTGACTCCCCATCTTCCGATGCCGAACTCCCCTGAAGGCTCGAGGCCGAATTCAAAATAGGGAGGGAGGGTCTGGACAGGATTGATTCCTGGTCTTCGGACGTAGGTAGTGCTTCTAACCTCGAAGCCGATAGCGCGGTAGGGGTTGATCCGGAGATCGGACCAGGGAGAGTCCCCAAAGTCAATGCTTTGGAGGTCGTGGTTGTTGAAGGTACATCTGAGAAGCCAGTGAAGATCAGATTGCCCCGAGCGTCAGTGAGATACTCAAAGGTTACCAAACCTGATATTTTGCTCAAGGGCGAAACTGTCGACCTGGTTGAGATGACCGGTCGAGTCAGTGTGCAAGACAATGCAGCTGAACGCGAAAAGTTGCCCCAGGACAAAGATGTCCCCAGTGTTGATGCCGTCTCTGATGATCAGGCAAGCCATCGACCCTTCAGTGATCCGATAGCGGAACTCTCAATGCAAGCACTAATGTCGGTGTCAAAATCGGTGGATCTCGGGTAGGGGGTCACGAACTGTGGATCTTGGATCGATGGGGAACAAGGGACGCAAAACACGATATTTACCCAGGTTCGGGCCCTCTCTAAGAGGTAATACCGTACGTCCTGCTTGATTGTATTGCTTGTGCATATGGGGGTTACAGAGTTGATCTACCTCGAGATCAGAGGAACTAAACCCTAACTAGTAGGATGGTGATTGTTCTCCTAGACTCTACGGACTAAACCCCCTGGTTTATATAGATACCAGTGGTACCAGGGTTTACTGATAGTCGGTTACATCAAGGAAACATCGGATCTTCCATCTTGACTCAGGGTACACACCAAGGCACAAAATGTCTTTGGTCCGGATACGGTGCGGCCCAATGGTCCGACCCACGTGAGATGAGTCGGCACCCCGAGGACCCCTAGTCCAGGACTCACTCAGGGGCCACCGTTAAGCCCTAGGCTAGTAGGCCCGAGGTACCCTAGTTCCTGATAGGCCGACAATCCTCTTCCTCCTCCTCCGACTCTGGCGAATCCGGAGGCAGACCGACAGTGAAACGAGTCGCACACTTGGCCCGGGTCTCCTCCAGGAGTTGCAACCGGTGCTTCAGCATTAACATCGCGTACGTGGTGATCTGGCGCCTTGGCATGCCAAACGCGCGATGGATTGGAAGAGGCGGCGACAGGGAGGAGAAAGGAGAAGGAATGGGGCTGATAGGGTTCGACTGCCACCGTCCGGCTTAAATAGATGTCCTCCTTCCTCAGGTGGCACACCGGAGCGGCGCCACATGGCGTGGAGTGGAGGAGGCACTCGTCGAACCAACGGTCTGTCTTAAACCTGTGTGACCCTATCGATCAGTCTGACGTGGCGCCCACGTCCGAACGTCCCCATATCCACCCCATATATGGGCAGGGGTATAAAGAGTGTCGCTCAGCTCAAACGTTTGAGCCGGCCATGGGAGCCCGGTTGGGTGGCAAAAAACATATAGGCATTGACTGGGTAGCCCGCCCAGGAGTTCGGGGCGGCTATGGGGTCCGATTGCAGATGCTCTTACACGGGGGTTCGACTCCTCTGCAGTACGGTTATTACTGCACAGGTACTGTAGCAGGCACAATCTGCCATCCAATTTAATCCGCTGGCTCTCAACAACAAAACTCGTCGTGTGAACATCGACCGAGCTGAGCACTCGACTAAGTTTTTCCCAAATCAAACATAGCACTTGGTTTTGCTCCGTCGTCGCCAAATCCGGTCAACATGCACTGTTTCGTCCGATGCCCTTCACCGGCTGCTGCAAGGGATGGATGGGACGCAACTGCTGCGGGAGCAGACATCAGACTAGAGACGCGGCTGCTGCACCATATCTCACTGCGAGCAGCAGTTCGACGACGAGCTCCATGAGCAGAAGGACGACGACGAGCTCCACAAGCCCAACAACAATGACAAGCTGGAGGCTCCTCCCGGCAAACTCGGCGAGGAATACGGCCACGGCCATGCCCAACCGCATCGAGGTAGTGGATTGGCGCACATGCACGTAGTACACTAGCTGCATCGTGTACGGTGGCGGCAGGGCCGGTCATGGGGCGTCCTCTCCGACGTATGAGTGAATAGGGGCGCCCAACACGGGAGCCAGCACATCATCATTGTCGTCACCCTGCGCCATCTCCGTGTCAGACCTGAGCTGGGCTCATGGGAATTTGTATCGAAGTACAAGAGGTAATCCATGACCTCCGAGACGATCGATGAGACCTTAGACAGGGGCCGATGAGCCACTGGTCGGAGGAGGCGTTGCCGACAACAACAGAGAGTACACACCTCAATGCTTCAGCGGAGGATAGGTCTGGCATGGAGACGAAGAGAGAGAGGTGCAAGGCGGGGCGGCTTAATGATGGCGAGGCTCTGGGCGCGCTCGAGCTCTTGCATGAGGTTGTTGACGTGTCATCCGAATAGACGAAGATGAGCAGGTTGAGGGCATGGTGCGGAAGCTGATACATGAGCATCGAATTGGGCTCGCCGGGGACGAAGAGGACGAGGGGCCGAGCTTGACGAGCACATGGAAGAGGACGACGTGGGGACGATCCCAGTCTGGCAGCCGAGAAGCGTCAGATTAAAATGGATAGCTGATTGGCCTCCTATAGTACGCGTACAATAATAGCTGTACTGCAAAGGAGCCGAACCCCTTAAGCCCTGTATAATGCAAGGTCCTTGCGAGAGATAGTTGAAGAAATAAACCAATCTTTTTTAAGCACCGGTACCTATTTCTATAAAAGAGCCGTCTAATTGAACGTCTACCTGTAGAAATAAGCATCGGTGATTAAAAAAAATCGATTTATTTTTATAAGCACCTAGCATTATGCAAGGCCTTACAAGGTTACCTTCGTGTATAACACGGTGCATCCTCTCCTGATGCCAAAGGCCAACTGTCGTGGCTCGCCTCTTGCGTGCCGCACGGCGCGCAAATTGCACCGCCGGCCGCCCGCCCGCCTGTCGCTTGACACCGACCGAATTCTCTCCGCCTGGCAGTTTCACCGGGCGTTGCTGGGCTCAGGCTGCCCATAGTGGGGGTAACATAAGTGGTAACATGCACTTGGGACTACCAAACATGCTTATGTGGCACATAATTAAAGAAGAGAGAGAGTGTTAGAGTAACATAGGTAGATACCGTATCATGTTAAATACTATGCTACTTTGTGTCATGCATGGCAATAAATATGATCATCTATGATACTAGTTTATAATACTATGCACTATGGAGATAGTATCATACACTATTATCATACACATGTTACTAGCATATGATACTCTCCACTATGAGTATGAGTAGTCTCACGGCTTGTTTTGCCTCATTTCTCCCCTGCGCGGTCAGGTGCCCGGGAGCACCCACGCCAGGAAACGATAAAATTTCTAGTACCGATCGTGATATGGACCACATATATTCTTCGCCTCTTTTTTCCAGGCCCAAAATATGCCCCGAACTTCTTTTTTAGAGTCCGATATTCCTCATCTTGGCCGGCATTCATGCCCACCATCAGGCCATCGTCACGCATCTGTTGATCTATCGAAACACATCTAGTGGTAGACCGCGCGAGCACACCGTTCGATGCTCATGTTGGTTGGATGTAGTTTCTCGTCGATTGCTTTCAAAAAATTAAAAAAACCACACGCCACCTTGACTTGCTAGGATCAAGAAAAGCACAGGGTTTACGCCGCTGACAACCGAGCGATGGCAGTAGCTTTCATCAGATCATAGTTAGTTGACGGCACGTTTTCATGGGCGTCCGTACCTTCGTGTTGTTAATGGCAACCACCAATATTTTGCTTCCCTTTTTCTTCCAAAAAAAACTGCCCGTACCACATGTTACGCCGTCTCTCATTTTTTTCTTTATTATATTCACAATAACATATGCATGTAGAAATTCTACAGATGTGGAATGCCATGATTAACTTTCGAGCCCATCTCATCTCATCTCATCTCATCTCACAAGAGAAAAAGGTGAAATGTATAGTGCTGAAAGGCTACAAATATTCGGCCGCAACAGGCGGAGCGGCTGCCTTGCCCCCCGCTAGATTTCAGGAGCCCGCTTCGGCCGCGTCGCTTCGCTGCTCCGCCCCCACAACGCACGCGCCCACCTTCCTTCCTTCCCTCCCAGCCGTCCGATCGCCCACACGTGGCCGCGCCGCCCGCCCTATACCGCCCGCGGCCTCGCCGACGCCGCTCCTTTTTGTCCTCCGGCGGAGGCGGCCGGAGCGGCCTAGGGTTCCGGCGAGTCCCTGCTCCGGGCCCAATCCTCGGTCGAACTGGAGGACACGCGTAGCCCCGGCTTCTTCTGCGGCGACCTCTGGTGCGGCCTCATGGAGCCCAAGCCCAACACCGCGCTCGCCCGCAAGCGTATCCTTTGCTCCTTGCCCATCCATCCGGAGCTGGATCTGATGCATGATCCCGGGCTTGTCTTTCTTCTTGGATCAATGGGGTTTGTCCGTGCTCTGAAATTGTTTTCATTTTCTAACCATTCCAGTGCTGGTGGTGAGCTGGGTGATTCCATTGCCATCCAACTCCGTTGCTTCTCTTTGATGATCCGTCAGGGACACCGCTGTATTTGATCAAAATTCTGGATTTTTTTGTTTCTTTTTTGTGTGTGTATTTGTTCAGTTTGGTACCAGTGTTTTTGCTTTTTTGTTTCATCGACAGGCGTGTGTGCTCAACCTGATTTACCATACTTCTTTATGGTTGTTTAATCTAAAGCATTGGGAAAGCTTTTGCTCTGATCTTGCTTTAAGGGACTTTTTGATCCATGCGTGCTCCTTCAGATCGCGGTTTCAAAATAAATAAATCGTGGGTGCGTAGCATTTTTCATGGAAAGTTCGACCCAGTTCAATCTACTATTGACATAATTGAGTTTTGCCGTCCTACCATACCATGGCAGGTCTCTGTTGTTTTATATTCAGAATTAGAATTGTTAGGTATCCCTCACATGTCGGATTTTCAAAGATGGCGAGAGCTGAGCCAACTTGACAGCTACACCAATAATATGGTTTGTGTACTTACGGATACGGTTGCTGTATGCCCTTATTGATCTGTTGCTGCATGCTGTTTGCGAGCCATGAACTTGTTCAAGTAATGGTCTCTTGCACTTGATCAGATGATCGCTGTAGATCTTCTGATTTGATGAGCTCACTAAACGCAATTATTGTGCATTATTGGACTAAGGACATTTTAATCCATCAATCTGGGCTTGCTGGCTTATTTTATTCTCACTCATGGACGATGGCCTTTCAAGCATATATTCTGTTTGCAAGCCTTGACTTTTGTATCTTCCAGCTATAGAAGAGGCAGTAGACAACTTGACGATTGATGCTAGCACGAAGGCAAGCAACGGCAACTTGGTAAGATTCTAATTTCTCGAGACATATAGTATAGTCCTTGCTTATCTTAGCGTACAAGGAATTGTTCCTTGTTTGGTTGGTTGGGCTATATCTATCGTGTACTTGCTGATTCCTTTCGTGCCCAATCTTTGCAGCCTGCTGCAAAAGACGTGAGTTCTTCGGATGCAATATCATGCATTTCCTCGGCAGATGCAGCTAGTACTGCTGCCAAGGATGCTGAGATGAACCAAGTAACTTATATGGGGGACCAAGGGATGTGTTACTACGGGTACTATTATCCAGGTGGGTAGAATAGATCAGTACTATGATCTGAAGTCCTGAAAACAGAGGTACTGTTCTTTCAGTTTGATGGTTTGATCATTATTCTAGGCTCATTTGGAGGATGGGATGAGAATAGCTACTATGCTGGATCGAATGGACTGGAGATGCAACCGACAGTAAGTTATCAAACAGTGTACTTTATCAATCATGTTATATGCCTTCCCTACAGTAGTCACAAGTGGTCCTGTGTAAATAAAACCAAAAAATGCCGCACTTAGTGCATCTATGGTGGTATGGTGGTACCAGCTAGCTTTGCACTTATTTGCAACCATCTTTTCCTTGCCTTTCCTTTGCAATGTTGGGGAAAGTATCAGCTTTGGTTGTTAATATCACTCTTTTATTCTTCCATTAGTATCTTCATGCCAACAATATTCTTTGCAAACCTTTACAAAAAATGTATACCTTTTCTTTTTTGCTTTAGTTGTCACCACACAATATGCTGTCATGAACAGATGATTAACTTATTCTGGTGATTGAGATAAACAAATTTAAATGGTTGCCGGTGAATGGAATGTCTATTCAGGGGATGCTTTTACTATTCCATGCTGTACAAAGAATTGCGGTCAAGCACTGTAGCTAATTTAGTTTGATTGAGATCTTAAATGATGAAGAGCCAATTACAAAAGGGCTGTGCAGACTTCAGAGTACTCGATTTAACAGTTGACTTTTGCATTGCACTGTTTTGTTTTGTTTTGTTCCCTATTAAGTTATTACCGAGTCTAATCAATTTTAGAGTGAACTGCTTCTTGAAGATACAGCTGTGGAGGCTGACATATCACTATAGAACTGAGCTTATACCTGTTTTGTAATCTGTTTCAGGTGGTTCAAGCTGAGAATGGATCTTATTTGTGTTATGTTCCGGGTTACGAAAATGGATATACTGCTTATAGTCCAGTCGTTCCTGGAAATGGCGTGGATGGTCAGTATGTCAGCAAAGAGCCATATTACTCCGCTGTGGTTCCAGTGCAGGACCCTTCTACACCTGGCATGTATGCTCAACCAATTGCTTACGGACCTGAGCTAGTCCCCGCATACACATGGGACCCTTATGTTCTTCTGGATGGGGTTCAGGGACATCCTGTTGGTGTGCACCAAACGAACTACCCTACAAGATCAAACTACCCTTCCAATAAGCATGCTGTTCCATCTTCAAAAGCTTCACGCAGCACAAAGTATGCATCAGGTACCACCAAAGGATCATCATCAGCTGTAGACACAGTGCCAACCTCCGCCAATAACCATCCATCATCAAAGTTTGCAAATAAGGTACTGAAAAATTCCTGTAAAACAGGACAAACTACTCTTCTGAGCATAAAGTAGGAAACTTATAAGTTTATATGCTTTTTGTTATGCTAGGTATCTGGTGCTTCCATAACAAAAGGGCATCTTCCGTCTAGCAAGTTTGTGGCGCATACTAACCAAGGGAAAGGAAGCTTTTATCAAAGTAAAGGCATTAATTTGAATGAAAGTGGTAGAAACTGCAACGGGAATGAGAAGCTGAAGGCCAGGAGCAAGCTAAATGAATTTGGTGACCGTGACGTATCAGATAAACCCAACGATGACTCAAAAAACAGTTTGAGCCCAGGAGCAGATCGTTTTGGCTTGTCGGGTGTACAAGAGGTTAACGATGACATACCTTCACTTGTTGCAGTAAGAAGAGATTCATATAATCTTCCTGATTTTGTTACGAAGTATGAGCAAGCTTTATTCTTCGTGATTAAATCTTATAGTGAAGATGATATTCACAAGAGTATCAAGTACAATGTTTGGGCAAGTACTCCTAATGGAAACAAAAGGCTTGACAATGCCTATAAAATTGCACAAGAAAGAATGGCAGGAAAAGGAACCAAATGCCCTGTTTTCCTCTTCTTTTCTGTAAGTACTTATTCCTCAAGCATTTTATCCTGAATATCATCAGAGTAGTGTGATATTCAATCATTTTTTTCTTTGTTTTTGTTGTATCTGACTATTATTGAGTACGTAAGTTTTATATTTAGTGTGCCTCGGTAAGACATGCTGCTTTGTTTATATTTGTGATAATGATGTGCGAGTGCATCCAATTTGATTATTTTGTTTCTCTGGTTCATTGAATTAGGCTCTTTGTCTCGTTTTTTCATTCCACCTACTTCCTCCAGTTCACGAAAAAGTTACATCTTGGACATAACTTCAGTCAATTTTATAGATTTGACCGTCAATATTGTTTTAAATATTTTGTTTGGAAAATTTAGAAATCATATTTGTAGATTTGTCTCAAAAAGTATTTCCAGGTCATTATATTTTTTTTGAGCATTATACATATAGTAGAAAATAGTAGTCAGTTCTGTGGTGTGGCTGAGATGCTTGTTTCATTATGACTAGTCAATGTGTACGTGCAATGCACGTTAATTTGGAAGTATATTAAGTGCATGTGGATATTAAGTAGGATATTATTTGCGTGTTATTATGTGATTAGCACTATTTTTGGCATGAAATTAACTGCACGCTAAACATGTTGAGCGCTTGACATTGAAGCAGTCTAGGTCGTTGGATTGACATGATTTGATGGTCGAGATTAATTGGATCTGCCCCTTTGGGTCTTTTTATATTGGTATTAGATAAATTTGTGGTTGTTTGCTCTATTAACTGTTATACTATAATGACCAGGTTAATGCTAGTGGTCAGTTCTGTGGTGTGGCTGAGATGCTTGGCCCAGTAGATTTCAACAAGAGTATGAACTTCTGGCAACAGGACAAGTGGAATGGATTCTTCCCAGTAAAATGGCACATTATCAAGGATGTGCCTAATCCTCAATTTCGACACATAATATTGGAGAATAATGAGAACAAGCCTGTTACAAACAGCAGGGACACTCAAGAGGTATTGCTTCCACCATCTAACTAGAGAATCCCGGTATTATCAGAGCTAGAATTTAGATCTCTGTTGGTCAATTATCTTGAAAACATCCGAATAAATTTGTTGGTACATAAGTTTCATTTTGTTTTCCCCCGTCATTCTTCTTGCTGGAGAACATACAATCCTATTTGCGCACTGTGCAACAAATGACTTAATTTGTAATGAATGTTTCACCTACTTACAAAATTGTTAACCTATTTCCTTACCACCTTCACTTGATTCCTCATGTTCTTTGTCATGGAAATAGAATGCTGGTAACATTACAACAAGTGCAGCTTTTTAAGTTATTGTCCATGCTTCTCTCTGGTGCATTCTTTTAATGATCAGATAATGTTTAATTTTATTCTGGATATTCTCTTATGCCCACTATGCATTACTCACACTTTATTACTGATATTTTATTTTATAAGTTTGGACTCATAACTGGACGACTGAATCCCAGGTCAAGTTCCTACAAGGTGCAGAGATGCTGAACATTTTCAAGAACTTTTCATGCAAAACGTCAATATTGGATGACTTTGACTTCTATGAGAATAGGCAGAAAGTAATGCAGGACAGAAGAGGCAAGCCGCTTACTACATCATTGGATCACCTCACGGTATATAGCGAACTGCTGCATTTACTTTGTCAAGGCAGTGTGTGTCTTGTTATTAAACGCACGCTTTGATAAATCTTATTACCTCCGTATAGTGATATGCCCGTTTGCCATTTGCACTTTCACTTTGTGGTATCATGGAAAGCCTAATAATAACAGGAAAGGATACCCAGTTTTAGTTTGTCGTATTTCTGGACTTAAAATAACTAGATTTACCTGTTGAATGACCATAAATTGATGATAATATGATTCTTTGTTCATGATCGATGATAGAGGGTCACAATTTTACAACGTCGTTTGATTTAAGTTATCTTTTCAGCCGAAGGATGAGAAACCGTCAGAGTCTGAAAAGCAAGCTCAATCTGCATGTAACGTAGAGCATCATAATGCCAAGAGAAACGAGGAGCAGAGCAACGATGTTACAACAGATGTTGATACAGCCAAGACAAGTCAGAAGCAGATCAATGTGGATCCGGCAGATGTTGATACAGCCAAGACAGGTCAGAAGCAGAGCAACGTGGATGCGGCAGATCTTGATACAACCAAGACAAGTGAGCAGAGCAAAGTGGTTGCAGCAGATGTTGATACAGCCAAGACAAGTGAGGGGAGCAATGGTGTTGCAGCAGATCTTGATGCATCAAACAGAAGCGAGGAACAGAGCAACAAGGTCACCGCCGCGATGCTTGATGATACAGGCAAGAGAAGCGAGGAGCAGACGAGCAGCGTCGCCGCGGCAGGCTGATGACAGGATGGGCGCATCTGGACGGAAGCTACATCCAAATCGAGCGACAATAAATTGCTGCGCGGAGCACTGATAGATGGTCAATCATCCTGGAAGCTCCTCTCCGTTGGTCGGTCAAGCGGAGAACAAGAGCCTTGGAGCTGTCTTCCCGTGAGAAATGTTTTCAATGACCGGGAAAAAAAGGTTCTGAGGCATATCATGGCTGGTAGAGAATTCCCCATGCTACACTCCTTGTCTATTTTTCAGCCAGGAGGAGGGAGTGTTCCAATCATTTTTCTTCCTGTTCTTGTTTCTTCTGTTGTTGTCGTCGTCATCTAATATCCAGTTCTATTGCTAATGTGTTGAGAAGCAGACCACTTGCCGTGTGGGTTTAAGGGCCTGTTTTAGGTTCTAGCAAAGGTAGAAAAAAGGAAGGGAAAAAAAGAGTCCTGCGTTTAGTTCCACTAGTGTAGATTGACCTCATCTTGTACCATCAGAATTACTTCCATTTGACGAGAAAAGGAGAAGAAAAAAATGGACCAGAGATCTGTTCGTCACCGTGCGGCCTTTCGTTTTCGCTTTGCTCGTTTCTGGTCCGAAACGGGCGTTTGATCCTGGCACGGGCTGGGCATGTGTGGCCGTGGGCCTGGGCCTGCATTGCAAAGCGGCGCAGCTCCTTTCCGGAAGGATTTTGACCGATCGAGAGAAATCACATCTGCACATGTCTTTTCTAGGAAGGGAGGCCACATGGCTGCTGCTCGTTCTCGGCTCACGCCTGCACATGGCGCGTGTGTAGTACAAATCGATCGCTTTACTGTTGCTGTCGTCTTTCGAAGTGTGTGCTACTGCCTACTGCCACACTAGATGCTAGACTTTTTTTTATTTGACCCTTGACTACTTCCTTCGTACCGAAATATTTTTACTCCTCCGTTTCAAATTACTCATTTAGATACATCCATACCTGTGACAAGTAATTTAAAACGAAGGGAATAGATAGGACAAAATGAATGTATCTAATGAATCAATAAGGAAAAGTTTTCCTCCGAAAAACCTGGAGCTCTTGTTTAGAGGCGATTAGGGTTTGAGGGTGGATCCTGGCGGCGCACGCCGATCTCCATCGGCGGGGCGACGGTGATTTGATCGAGGGATGTCAGCGTCCACGGATCGCAGCAGGGAGGAAAGGCCTGTGTCGCCAGGGGCGGCTAGGGCAAAGTTAGCGGAGGCCATGGGAAAACTGGAGATCTCAGAAGAGGAGGCTACGCCGCTGGTGCTCGACGATCGTGAGGAAGAAGTCGGGGAGAAGTGGATGTTGGCTGGGAAGGTCCTTCACCGAAACACTCTCCATCTCCAAACTATCTCCAATGCACTTCATCCGGCATGGGGCAACCCAAAAGGGCTGCTCTTTAATCCTGTTGGGGAAAACATCTTTGTGGCTGAATTTGCGATACAGAGAGATAGAGATCATGTGTGGGAAGGAGCCCATTGGCATGTGAGTAAAAATGCAATGATTCTTTCGGAGTTTGATGAATGCATGAGGCCATCGGAGTTGAGGTTTGACAAGCTCTAGTTGTGGGCTAGGGTTATTAATCTCCCCTTTAATCTGAGGAACAAATGGAGAGCGGAGATTGCAAAGCAAATTGATCGACAGGCTACTTCGGTGCAGTTTGATCAGGCAGCAGGATACCTAAGGGCAAGAGTGACTATTGATGTTGATAAACCCTTGAGGAGATGGATTTTGATTGAATCAAAGAGGAGAAAGTGTATGGACCCGTATGACATACAATACGAGAATGTCCCTCATTTCTGTTTCTCGTGTGGACGGCTGGGCCATTCAGATCTTCATTGTCCAACGCCGGGTGTCAGAGATGCAAATGGCAATCTGCCGTTTGGGAAGGGTTTGCGTGCCCCTGAAGAGTGGAGGAAAACAACCTCGAGTGAAAGTTCGTCGAGGGAGCAGACAAGAACACATGATAACAGAGCTGAAACTCGCAACTCCACGTCGGCTGCAGAAAAAGGGACGGAGGTTAACTCTCCGGTAAAATCTATAGATTATCAAAATAAGAGGAAGGGAGGACCTCATGGTCCCAAACAGGCAGTGGCGGAGCTAGCAATTGAGAACAGGGTGGTCCGCCCCCCAACCCCACAATTTTTTTTGATAAGAAATATGACACTGTTTCAATTAAAGCTTTTTGTCTTAGAAATAGATCAATATGGGCTTAGAACCACACTAAAATTTCTAAGATGTGCAAAATTTTATTGTGTTCTAAGACCATATGGATCTTAGAAATTTTTTTGTTCTAAGTAATTACCAATATCACATAGAAATAGATCAATATTGTCTTGGAAACACACTAATATTTTCAATTAAAGCTATTTGGGGTAAAAAATGATGAGCAAAATTATGCATGTGTTAGGTTCATCTACTGGTAGCATAGCACATAAAAACCTAAATCAGAAATTGGGTAGTTCATACCTTAAATCAGAAATTGGGAAGTTCAAAAAAGACTATGTTGCTGCCGCCGGACTTGGGCACCGGGGCACTGGGCGGCCGCCCCCGGCTTTGCAGGGGCGTCAAGCGGGCGGAGATAGGGGAGCAGCGCTGCAACCGTGTAGGGCAGAGCGCACGTGCACACAACTCGCAGGTGGGGAGGGAAAGGAAGCAGGGATCATCCTCGGCGGTTGGGCTCCGGCCAGCGACCAGTGAGGGCGGCGAGCTGGCGATGGCGAGGGCGTCCGGCATCGGGACTCGGGAGTCGGGACAAGGGCAGGAGGCGACTGGTTGCCTGGTTCTGCTCGATGTAGTCCTCGGCTCGATCTGGACGAGGGCCAACAGGTAAGTGATATTGGGCCATTTTTTCTCTGGCCCGGCAAAAAATCCATAGGTATATATAGGCTGATAAAAAATCCCAGGGTGGGCCGCGGCCCACCCTGGCCACCCTATAGCTACGCCCCTGCAAACAGGTGTACCGGAAAGTTGAGATGCCGCTGTTAATGAACTCTGAACATGTAGCAGATGAGGATGCTGATCCAAAGGGTTCAGTTAGCGGACAACTTTCAGAGAGAGGTTCCGACTCTAGGGATGGTGAGATCAGGGGACCAAAAAAGAAGAAACCAACACCAACAAATTCGGATAGTTCGGCAGCGGCTGCGAGTCAGCCCTGCCGGGGACAATGAGTTGCCTCAGCTGGAACTGCCGGGGGCTTGGGAACCCCGGGGCAGTTGGTGAGCTTCACAGCATTGTGAAGCAAGAAGGTCCCGGTCTTCTGTTTCTGATGGAGACCAAAATTTCGGCAGTAAGAGTGGAAAGACTACAGAGCCACCTTGGTTTTGCGGGTTGTTTCGCAGTAGATAGCGTGGGTCTCAGTGGTGGGATCGGCTTGTTTTGGTCTCAAGACTTTGACGTTGAGCTAAAGAATTATAGTTCCTGTCATATTGATGTTATGATTAGGTGAAAGGGTGATGGTGGGAGGACTTGGCGAGTGACAGGGTTCTATGGAGCGCCACAAACTGAGGACATGCATCATAGTTGGCATTTTTTGAGGACATTGTTTGAGATCCAACATGAGGCTTGGATGTGCATTGGTGATTTCAATGAAACCTTATTTGGCTCAAAACACTTTTCTGTGTCACTACGCTCGGAATGGCAGATGCGGGCATTTCGGGAAGTGACGGATCATTGCTCACTCACGGATCTTGGATGGTCGGGGGTGGAGTATACTTGGGATAATAGGCAATCGGGAAGAGCGAATGTGAAAGCGCGGCTTGATAGGGCCTTTGGAAATCTATCTTTCATAAATATGTTTGAATATATCAAGGTTCGTCATATTGTTGCAATGGAGTTAGACCACATCTTTGTCTTTGTGGATGTCTGTGAGCATTCTGTTTCGTCAGTTCCTAGAGGGCCGAAGCCCTTCAGGTACGAGGATGTTTGGCAGACGCACGTCGACTATGATAAGTTGGTCATTGACAATTGGCAGCGAGGTGCGGGAGGCCAGGGTTTACAGGGCATTGCTCAAGCTCTCAACGCGCTGCAAGGAAACTTGTCGGCGTGGGGGGCGCGGGAGTTTGGGTCCTTGTCGCGAAAAGTTCGTAAATTGCGTGAGAAACTTGTTCGCCTCAGGGCCCAATCCGTTGGCAGGGGACCGACGAAGGAAGAGCGAGCAGTTACAAAACAGCTGCGGCTGGCTCTAAAACAAGAAGAGATTTGGGTCAGGCAGAGATCTCGAGTCTCATGGCTCCGTGAGGGTGATAGAAATACAGGCTATTTTCAGGCCCAAGCTGCTCAACGGAAGCGTATGAATAAAATCGAGCGTCTTGAGAGGGCAGACGGCTCAAAGTGTGCAGATGTGGAAGAGGATCGAGCTGAAGTTCAGGCTTTTTACCAAGCTCTGTACACATCGCAGGGATTCCAGCAAATGGATGAATTACTGGACTTTGTTCCTAATCGTGTTACGGACACTATGAATCAGGAGCTGCAGAAACCGTATACTGAGGAAGAGATTAAAGTCGCTCTGTTTCAAATGGCGCCGTCAAAGTCACCAGGGGTGGATGGGTTTACTGTTGGGTTTTTTCAACGCCATTGGAATTTGTTGAAAGATGACGTTGTACCAGCAGTTTTGGACTTTCTTAATGGAGGTGAGCTCCCGGATGTTGGGGAACGTAGTAATTTCAAAATTTTCCTACGCACACGCAAGATCATGGTGATGCATAGCAACGAGAGGGGAGAGTGTTGTCCACGTACCCTCGTAGACCGAAAGCGGAAGCGTTAGCACAACGTGGTTGATGTAGTCGTACGTCTTCACAGCCCGACCGATCAAGCACCGAAACTACGGCACCTCCGAGTTCTAGCACACGTTTAGCTCGATGACGATCCCCGGACTCCGATCCAGCAGAATGTCGGGGAAGAGTTCCGTCAGCACGACGGCGTGGTGACGATCTTGATGTTCTACTGTCGCCAGGCTTCACCTAAGCACCGCTACAATATTATCGAGGACTACGGTGGAGGGGGGCACTGCACACGG